TTAGATTTTCTTACTGATGCCCACAGAACTGTTGCTTCAGTTTCTAACCTATGTGTATTCCCATGGGACACTCCTGAACGTGATGCAGTCTCTGTACAGATGGTGCATATCCCAGTTTCTCCCACTCCAATATTACATTGCTTTTGAAAAGGAAACTGTATTGAGTTTAGTGAAGCTTGCTACAGACTCATGAATTTGACTTTTTCAGAAAATATATCTTTTGATTTTCTGGGCCAGGTGGGTTTTCTCCACTTCTTATAGCAAATATTGAAAAGAAATGGATGAAAACAAAGCACAGGTTTGGCTAGGGTGCTTTTTGGTGACAGTTGGCAGGATACATAAGACTTGTCCCTGCTGTAAGTACAAGTGCAAGCATGATATTCCTAAAAAAAACCACTACTACGTTTTACTTTCCTACTTTATTATATGAAGCTATGGTAATAGAGTTTCATTTGGAAGTAGCAAAACACTTTTACCTGTTTAAAGCAAGCTTCCACCAAGTTTGGAGGGAACATATTTCTGTGAAAAGGAAAGAAAAGAACATGAGAAGTAGTAAGATTCTAGTAATACCTGAAGTAGTGGCCCAGCTATATAAAGGAATTGACTGGTTATTTTCCAAAGGTGTCCTTAGATGAATACGTATGTATTTATGCATAAAATGAGCAGAGCTTTGCATATGCCAGTGGCCTGGTTAGCTTCATCAAGTCAAGATACAGTAGAGTTGGACAGATCATGTCGACTGCAATCTCTGTATCCAATGTTGTATAGCAAGTCTCCTTACGAAGCAGAATATTAGATAAATTGCCAAACAAAGCTCTGTGGCGCTGTGCTGACTTTTAATTTTGCATTTATTAATGCTGTCTGAATATAGATTAACAAAAAAGTCATTATTATTTAGTGCACTTCCACTTCTCAAATGATTTTCACAGTCACATGGCCTAGCATGTGTTGACTTTTATTACTTGGTCTACTGTCTTGTTGCGATTAATATTAATAAATATTCCTAAAGTTTGAGTATTCTTTAATAAGTAACACCCCCAAATATAAATTTACGTGTGTGTGTGTGTGTGTGTGCGCGTGTGTGCGTGCGTGTATGTGTACTTTTTACACAGGGAGGTTTTGTTTGTCTGTTTATTTTCCATAATGGTGACATTTCTGACGGAATTAGAGGCAGCCTAACTGAATACATATTGAGGAAATCGGAGGGTAAACCTCTTCGTGGGTCTTTCTGAAGTCCCCCTTCCTGGCAGCGTGACTCTCGGAGGCCTTTCTCCATGTTTCTGGCTTCTCCAAAAGGGTTAGTAGAACACAAATTTTTGATCTTTACCTGTGGAAAAGCTTCTGAGCTGAAAACCTCAGCCTCTCTATTCCCTGGAATACATCTTGTGACATGTTAGCTGTGTAAAAGAAGCACTGCAGAGCCTCTTTGAGCAAGGAGAAAATCAACTCTTACATCTGTGCTCCTTCGTTTCAAGCATTTTACTTGCTTATCGCTGGAATTTCTTTCCCATACCTACAGATTAACAAAGCTAAGGAGACGGACCCAGTTTGGGAGCAACAATTCAAAATTAAGATGAATAACCAATCAGAGTTTCAAGTGAAGTGAGAAGCCTGTCAAAAGTTGGAAGTAAAGGAAAGGAGAGGAATTTGGTAATAAGGATTGTGCTGTGGAAGGAGAGGAAAAGACCCATGCAGACAGCAGAACAGAAATCGTTTTTGTGTGTGTAATATTGCTTCAATTTTTAAAAGCAGTTTCTTCCCTTGCAACTTAGCCTGATTTGAAAATAAATCCATGTCTCGTTCTTTAATTTGCAGTGTTGTTGGTGCTAGAGATGTTGGAGTCACCCAGTTGCAAGAAATTTGGCTAGTTTATCCAGTCACTGTCTAAGATTCTCTACTATCCTGGTGTGAATCTCAATATTACTATTGTTGCTATTGGTACAGAACATGTGCAATATCATAGCCATACCTGATTAAATCAAGAAAGGCATCTGCTGCTGTCACTTGCACAATTTTGCCTTCTCTGTGCATGTTTTCTTTTGTACCTTTCCCCGGATGGATGATGACCACAATGATTATACCAATCAGTACAGCAATGATCGTAGTACTCATGTAGTAGACTACTGCTCGGACTCCCATCTTCCCTGATGCTTTACTATCCAGGGCAGCAATTCCTAGTAAATTTAAGCACAAGGACATATACCTCATATAGTTGTGAATAAAGACTACAAATTCAGCATCATGAAAATCGTTTTGCGGGAAGAGCTTTGACGACCAGGACATTTAAAGCTATCCAGTATATGCTGGCCCTCTGTTGCAGCCCATAGTGCCACTATCTTCCCATCCCACCCCTGTTGCTTGTTATTACATAGCTATTATAAGACTTACAGCTTTCTGTGCTATGTTAACACATGCTACAGGCAAAGATTACTGGTCTGGTGGCTTTTCCTATATTCCCCTGAGCCAATACATGGAGTTTTTAATTAGCGTAGTTACCACAGTCTGAAAAATGTGCCTTAGAAATCTGCACCTCATTTGTAATGGTAAGAAAGAAAAAGGCACTCTCAAGCGGTGTTGATAATGTTTGCTACAATTAAGGTGTATGAAGAGTTCTCGTCAATTCTTAATAGAATGACCTGAGTTTACCTCTGTCCCAAACCGTGGGAGTTAAAATGGATTAAATGCTGTTAGCTGGTTTCAGAAAATGCTCACTAGTGTATGAATAAGCACTTAGAGTCTTTTAGAGTCTTTTATAAGCTTTGCAAAACTTGTGACATTAATCCTAATTCTTGGCTGGTCTTAATGTGTCTGAATACTTGGGTGCTCAGTGTGGCATCTGTTAAAGTATTTGTTCATCAGATTGCACCAACAGGGCTGGACTGTGGTATTTAAGTGGATGTGCAGTTCTGCCGGGGGGAACGCCGACTCTCTGAACAGGAGTGTCTCCTGAGGACTGTCAGAAATGGCAGTGTTCCCTCTCCTTCCAAACAGGTGCAGTTAGTGTGCCTCTCCTTAAAATTTCAAGTGGTCAGGTAACTTCCCCGCACTACATTCGGGGGTCCACCCCAGCTGTCTCCAACACTGCTAATGTTTCTTGTTGGACCCTTGCCTTGGAAGTGCAGACCGGTGAAAGAGGTCAGGAAATGGAGCCCTTTACTCTCTCCTCCTACGCACCCCTACGTGGCACCCTCTAATCCAAACGTGTGCTGACTGTTTATCCCGGTTCCATCTCCAAAGGTAAAGAATATAACGAAAGCTGCCCACCTTTTGCTCTGGGCGCCCGTCTCGCAGGAAAAGGCATGTAAAATAGTGCAAAAGGACTGCCTGAATAAAATTAATATGGAAACATAAAACTAGAATCGTGACCAGGCAAAACTAAATGTTTTCTCAAAATGCCTGTCATTACAGATGTATCATACTTCTATCTTATAAAGAAGGAAATACGTACTGCTGGAGTTATAGTGAATTTGCTCCAGATAATCAGATTTTACTGCGATCAAGGCTGTATTCCAGGCTCTGATTAAATCTCCAAAGTATAAAACTAATCACATGCTTCATACTTACCCTTTTCGTTTCAACTAGGGCATGCCTGTCCTTTCAGCAGAAGCCACTAGTGCCAGTGAGATCTGTACCCACAAAATTAAGATCAGTAGACTTGCTCCCTGAACTCCTTGATTTATATGCGCCATTGTGGTAGAAGAACAAAGCATTACAGCACAATATGAAACTGAAAATGGAAACCCAACATTTGAAGCGTTTGATCCTTAACTTCTCTGCTCAACTCTTCTATCTGTAAAACTAGATGATAATACTTGGTTGTGGTAAGTGTACACTTCTACACTTTGAAATTCTGTGAGGAGGATGGTAAATGCTAGCGAGTAACAAATAGCGTTCTTATTTTTATAAACAGAAAGTAAATGCTGAAGCCACTCTGTCACTGGATGGAGAGTTGCTTATTTGTTTAGATTCCTTAACATAATGCAACTGTTACTATAACTAACCAATGCTTAAAAATAAAGTTAATAATTGTTGGAGTTTTTGTAGATCTGATAATGAGTTCTACAACGTTTATATCAGACAGCCTTTGTTAAGAATTTTATTTTTGAAGTATCAGTATGTAACTTAAAAAGCAGTTCATTTTAAAAAGTGAAAAAAATGCATGCATACTGCTCCAGTCAAATTTGTCTTTATATATTTTTAATTTAAATTGTTTTATGTTGTTACTTGCCATTTTGAAAGTAGCAGAAATGGGCTATGTGTTTTTTGTTCTGGCTAAGTTCTATTTTAAACTTGGTTGCATCCTGAACATGAAGAGCTAAACTGAACCTATGTAGTTTGGTGAGGAGATTGGGAAATGCACGGCTGTTAAATCAATCAGTACTTTGTATCCTGCCCTTGCCGGGGAACGGGCTCGGGGCCAGATACTGAGCACTGTCAGTCTGAGGGCTCACAGGCTTAGGTGCTTACTGTTGTAACCAATTCTGTTCTTTCTTTGTACTCTACACTTGATACTGGGCTGAGTCTCCTACGCTCCAAAAATCACTAGGAGTCAGCGCAGGGCATCTCTTACACCAAAGCTTGCTGTGTTGCAGGATTAGAGCTTGTGATCCTGTTTCATCCTTGGACTCGTTCTGGGACAGAGTGATGAACGGTGTACAAACGGCATGTCAGGGAGCAAGAGTCATGCTCTTTTCTTTATAAGCTGCCTTCCGGCCTGGTTTCCTGTTTCGCGCTCCGGCTGTGACTCCGGCCGCATCTTATTTTAGTTGCTCGGGCTCGTTTCTGTTCTTGCTTGTCATATCACGACTTTTCAGCTTGAAAGCGGGGGACAACAGTTCCTCTCTTCACGAGCGCTAGCTGCCTGTGGCATGTATCGTAGCAAGCGTTCAAAGCAGAGGGATGGCAGGCGTAGGTATGAACAAGAGCTATATGAGGAGGAAGCCAGTTCGCAGCTCGGGGAGCCCTTGCCTGGGAGCTGCTGGGCAGCCTTCCCTCCCACCGAAGTGAACGGGAACTCTGGGCCCTCTCGAGAGGGACACTCGGTACCTCCCCGGGTCGAAACTGCAAAGGCTTCCAGCATGCCAACAACCAGAATTATCTAAAAACATATTTTAAATCTGTTTTTTAAAACATGAGAAAACGAAGGGTTTTGTTTCCTCCGCGTTTTAAGAGGTTGGCAAGATTTCTTAGAGCTGAATGGGTCTCTGGAAGGGTCCTTAATGGAGAAGCAATAAAGTTAGCTCTGAAGCTTTCATGTGTCACAGACCATTGTATCCTCGTTCTGTCCTTTCGCAGCCAGCCAGCCAAACTCCCCTTGTTCGGCAGGAGATGTATGTGTCCCTTTCATCCTGCTCGCTCCTCCGCACGGCTGCTGGCTCCGGCGTCTCGGCCGCCTCGCTCCCCTCCGCTCCGTCCTCTCCTCCTCTCCCTCCCCTCCGCCGAGGGGCCTGGGAAACTCCGCCGTGCCACCGGCCCCAGCGCGCAGGGATGCCCGGGGTCGTCAAGGCAACGCCGAGCAGCGAGCTCGTCATCTGCCCTAGCGTGTGTGTGCACACAGCATGAATGGGAATGATTTTAGGTATTGATGGGGAGGGAAGGAAGGGAAGAAAGAAAGGGGCAGGCCTGAGTCTCTAAGCCCGCAAACAAACCCAAGCCCTCACTCCTGTCCTCTCCTTTCACCTACTCCTTCCCTCTCTTCGGAAAGAAGTGAGGAATCGGTCACCCTGCCAGTGAAATAAAGACATAACAAGGAGTTCTCCAGAGCGTCAGGACAAAAAGCAAAGCACTGCAGTGGTCTTTAACAAAGATGTTAGAGACGAAATGAGAGTATTTTTGAGAGGTAGGAAAGGCAGCAAGCAAGCAAGTAGGGTAACTGCAAGAGAAAGAAAAATGAGAAAGGATG